AATAATAATAATAATTTTATCCAATGTGAAATTTATTTTAAAGGATAAAAAGATTAACAATTCATGTTGGGATTTCGTGCTACTCCAGATCAATGATTAGATAATATTAAAAATTATATAAAATATTATTAAATAATATATTTGAGTTATAAAAACAAAAACAACAACAACAACATACCCAGTATTATCCCACACCGTGGGGTCTGGGGAGGGTAGTTTGACGCAGATCTTACCCTACCTTGTGAGGATAGAGAGGTTGTTTCCAATAGACCCTCGATATAAATATATATAAATTTTTTTTTTAAAAAGAACGAATATCTCTCTACTCTTCTGAGACACGACGGATATAAGACATTTATAATTTATCAAGCATCCTCGCTTGTATGTCATTCTAGCAATAGGATTATATTTATGATTAATAATGCCAATTAAAAGAAGACAATTATCGAGTTTAGTTTATATAGATGTCAAGTCATTAGTATACATGTCAAAAAGAAGGCCGTTTTAAAGTGATCTCAGTTTCTGTTAGTAATCGAAAAAAAGATTATCGTATTAGAAACTACATGTTGCTGTAACCAAGTTCATGTGGATCAATATCGGCTCACCCCCGTTCGAACTTACTGCGCAACAAATTATACCAAATTTATCACTCATCAACAAACATACTTATTTAACCAAAACGAAATATATAATCCTATAATACTTTACAAATATTCAAAAGTTGAAAATATTGTGCCATTCAAGTAAAGATATAATTGAGCTTTCTGAATAGTGGTTTATTTAATTTATACATAAAAATTAAATTAAAGACTACAATCAAAAATATTTCTTGAAAAAAATAAAAACTACAATAGAAGTTTGGCCTAAAAGGATGAATATAAACTGTTCCCAGGGGAAACAGATGAGATCCTATTGTGATATTTATATGTACGAATTTTAATTTACTTAACTAATGGAAACTCTAAGCAAACCTCATAAGTTGGCACTTGGCAGAAATATTATTTCTCCATTAATTAGAGATTTTGTAAAAAATAGCATTATAATGTCTAGAAGTAATGAATATAAAAATAACTTAGTGAAGATCATACCTGAAGTAATGTTACTGCAACAAAAGAATAGACAAGTACTGAATCAACAACAACAACAACAACTACCCAGTATAGTCCCACAAGGTGGGGTCTGGGGAGGATAATACGTACACAGGCCTTACCCCTACCCGAAAGGACAGAAAGGCTGTTTCCAATCGACCCTCGGCTCAGGAAAAGGAAAAGGAAAACAAAAACAAAAAACAAAAAAACAAAAGAGCATTAGTAAGTACTGAATCAATCTAAAAAATATTTTTAAAGCAAGAGAAATTAATTTTAATATACATATAAAGCCCGCCTTTATAAATTTGAAACATAAATAAAAATATTACATATTACAATTTTATTTTGGTATCGATAAAAAAAAACTACAAGATAGATAGAAAATCAAAAAAAGTTATTTTGCAAGTCCTTATCTTGATCTTAGGTGTGTGAATTCGACTGGAGCATTGCCAAGCAACCGAAAGACATGTCGTTTGCAACAACAAGCAAGTAAAATGTATAGAGCAATTGAAAAAGAATTTCATAAATTGGAAAACAAAAATATGCAAAAAACAGGTTTAGTACCTATCTGACGAGCGAAAGTAAGTCTCCATCCCCAAATAGTGAATACTATATGGATCATCATACTCTAGCAAATTACCTTGGGTTCACTCGGCCGAGATGCGCAAAAGTTCATATAATAAACGGAGGCAACTCCATCAAATACCATTGAAATAATGAGTCCCTCGAAAACAAATTTCTTTTATATATGTATTGGGTGATACCCTTTTTGCTTGAGCCCGACCGGGTTGGGTCCGGTCCGGGGCAAGTCGGGGCCATCGAACCCGACCTGGATGCAAGGTAGAACGACGGCCACGTCAACAACCGAGGTCGAGTCATTTCGAGACCGTTGCAGAGCTCGATATGAGTCACCACCGGATGGAGAAATACACAAGGTCGGGAGCCGGACTCGTAACGGATAACCAAGCGTCGC